GCTTTTTTGTCAACTGGTAAAGCTGGATTTGGTAAACGTCTCTATGCCTTTTTGGCTTACCGTGAATTATTTCTTAGATAACTCCCACAAGATTGTTCTCTTGTTTTAGCCTTACTTGAGTCTATTTCCCCTGATTATTTAATCGCCAATAGCAGGTCTACTTCAAGTAGTGATTGAGATCATTAAAAGGGAGCAATTTGGCATGAGGTGACATTCTCGATCACAAAATTAAACTCTCCGATCTCACATTTGAGCACTAGAGTTAGGTAATTATGCTTTAACACTAGTTCCTTATGTACAAAAATTGCACTTTCGATAAGAACAAGAACAAATCCATTCTTCCTTATTTCAAATAAAGTTTAACTTCTAATACTGGGGGCCCTTTCCTCTGTTTCTTACCTTATTGGACTTGTTTGTTGGTTTAAGTAATCAGGTACTTTTACATTATTGAAGTTAAGTATGGTTTTTTTATTGAATGAGCAATAATGCTACTTCAGATAAGGATTCTGAGGGGTTTCGTTTGTTTGGCCTCCATTTTGAGCAGAATGTGTCACTTAGATACTCAATTTCTAATTGAATGCCTTACAACAACAGCAATAACACTGGCTTCGCTCTCTTTTGGGATTTGACTCAAATTCACTCCCATCTGTTCTCTTTTACCCTCAATACTGAAACAACCCAAATTTCCTTTTCCAGGAAATTCTCCTCTCCCTTTTAAATTTGTAGGCATAGCGAGTCTCCCAAAGTTCTACTACTATTTTACATTTTTATTCACCTTATCAAATCGATTTGGACTTCACCTTGAATAAATCCGAAATACGCTTTGAATTTGGGCATTGCTCTTAAAATGACCTGTCTCATTACTACATCAGTTTTTTTTCTAATCTATTGCTCTACAAATTTGCCAAACTGGAGTGACTGGCCTCTTATTCTATATTTACTTTGTTTCATAAAGTGATGTGGTTAGTCAAATGGTGGAGTACTTCTACTCCAGTACATCGTATCTATCGATGTCAAGTGATGAAATGAGTCTGGGAAACACCCGGGATATTTTGGTTATATCTAATTCACTTTCTGGAGTTGATGATGGGTCTCTATTGTGGAATGTAAAGTATGAAATATGAGTGCTATTCAAATCTCCAATAACTTCCGCTTTTAGTGAACCATTATCCTCATGTCAATGTCATGGCTATTATGATAAATTTAATGAACTGGACATGGCCAACCACCTACATTAGGTAATCAGTCAATAAGCTCTTTTTACATTTTGGTTTCAAATTTGTTCAAGTACCCGGGCCACATGAAGCAGTAGACTATTTGAATCTCAAAAGCAATTGAAATCCAACTTCGACTTCTGCCCGATACTCCTCCTGTTTACTCTTCACAGAACTGGTTTTCCATGAATGGATTGCTTTATTACCCCGGGTCGCAATTTTATTGTAATTATTTATTTGGATTCTATCAACTTTTCGCCTCATTATTTTTAATTCCATTTGGCAGGTCGTTCTACTTGGCCTCTTCAACGGGCAGGGCATGGATTTGACTGCTCCTGATGTCTACGTACTCCTTCGTACCACTCCGGGTGAAGAGTACGTGAAATGTGTGATGCGAAGCGGGAGAATGCAAGGCGCCCTGCTAATTGGAGAGACAGATCTTGAAGAGACCTTCGAGAATCTTATTGTCGATCAATTGGATATCTCGAGTATTGGCGAGGACCTACTTGATCCTAATATTGACATTTCTGACTACTTTGACTAACTTTGTATTTTTAGTGTGCTCTTTACCAAGTTAATTAAAATTTAGTTAACAGTATAAGCCTATTTATTAAATAAAAGTTGAGTGAGTTAGGTTCGAGCCTCAGGATATTGTTGATTTATTAGTAATTGCAAGCGTTAGTAATAAGACATTTCTTGATACAGGGAATACCTCAATTAAAGGCAGAGAAGTTTGGCAAAGTAGTTATAATTGGGTTTTCTAATCGTTACGTAAAACTCCCAGAAAACATTGTACGGTTTCTATTGGAGCTTTGCATTTTAATTACTAAACCATTGGAAGGCAACATGATATGTCAGGTTGCAGATTTTATTGCAGACTTTCTAGACAGATAACCGAAACGCTCATCAAATGAGCTATTAAAGAGTATATTAAAGCAAAATACATCTATAAATTACTATAATTTCGCGTGTAAGAACGGCACAAACATTCCATCGCTGTGTTGTGTAGGCTTAGTTTCAGAATGCGTCATGATACTTTGTGTCGGGTGTGCGATAGACTTATCTCCACGTGGTGCACCCTGGGCAACGTATACTCATACGGCAAAAAAGTCTATAAACCGGCAGTTGACTTCTCACTTCAAACTAAAGTCTATTACCTGGCAGTTGACTTCAAACTACCATGAGTAAGTCTATTAACTGGCAGTTGACTTCTGAGTTCAAACTATCATGACCCCAAGTCTATTAATCGGCAGTTGACTTCTGACTTCAATTACCATGATCTATTAACTGGCAGTTGACTTCTCTATGTCATATTCGAAGTCTATAAACCGGCAGTTGACTTCAAACTATCGGCAAAAAAATTCTATTAACCGGCAGTTGACTTCTGACTTCAACGCAAAAAGGTCTATTAACTGGCAGTTGACTTCTCACTTCACAAAAAAGTCTATTAACCGGCAGTTGACTTCTGACTACTCAAACGGCAAAAAAGTCTATAAACCGGCAGTTGACTTCTGACTGAAAAGGTCTATTAACTGGCAGTTGACTTCTGACTTCAAATAAAAGTCTATCAATCGGCAGTTGACTTCTCACTTCAAACTAAAGTCTATTACCTGGCAGTTGACTTCAAACTACCATGAGTAAGTCTATTAACTGGCAGTTGACTTCTGAGTTCAAACTATCATGACCCCAAGTCTATTAATCGGCAGTTGACTTCTGACTTCAATTACCATGATCTATTAACTGGCAGTTGACTTCTCTATGTCATATTCGAAGTCTATAAACCGGCAGTTGACTTCAAACTATCGGCAAAAAAGTCTATAAACCGGCAGTTGACTTCTCACTTCAAACTGCTATCATATTAGATTACTTCCACAGTACTCACCTCACCTTTTTCTACCTTTGTGTCTGTCTCTTTTACATCTATGAAACACTCTTCTGTCCCCCCCTCTCTCGACTTTTTCACCTTGATGTTCCTTCCCCCCTGTGAAGCCTGAAGTCAACTAAAGGGCTAATGATAACTATCAGAACGCTTGCTATTTGATATGAATGAATGGTATTTTGTGTATAGCGTACTACTGAAGTGCCCAACGTTGCCATCAGCAACATTCGAACTTAAAAAATTAGTTGAAGGTGAAATAATAATGGTCTCAGATGAGTTGGGCCATTTTGTTTATATTAGGGCTGTTTTGACATGAGCTAGTTTAATTTGCATTTAACTATAGTGGAAACTGTGAAAAACATCTTGGCAAACCAAATTGTTAATTTTTTTCACAGTTTTCAATTATAACTAGAACCCTTCTAACCACTTACTGGATAAAATGTAATTCAATACTGGCAGAACAAAAAAATTAACTCTCTATTTGATAAAGCCTCCTCATTTTTCTTTTCAAAAGAAGTTCTCAGACACATGCTATGATTTTAATAAAACCGATATTTAAGATTTATTACGATTTCATATATGTCCTTAGAGCTTCCTTAATAGCATTCAACTACCCGACCATGCTATTTAAGGTTAGGATAGAGACAAGTAGCACCTCAAAATAGCCAGCATTTTTCAACCCCTCAAAATTAGCATATTTTGAGATCAGATCTTAGGTGTTACTTTTACCTCAAATAAATTGGAAATTTGTTCAAATCATAGAAGCCGCACAACAGTTTTATGGGGACTCTGCGCCATGCTGAGCAGTCATTTATGGTTTGATTGAAAGTCTTGAAAGAAAGAAGAGCGCAGTGTGATGACTGTCCACGAGGAGGGAGAACCATCACAGCAAAAAAAATTGAGAAAGAATCTCTCTTGTGCAGAACCAGGTAGAACAAGATGGACAAGTTACCAGTAAGGAAATTGTCAATGAAATAGGAATAGCAAATGGATCAGCATTTTAAATTATAACGAAAAATATTGGCTTGAGCAAGCTCTCGGTGGGTATGGTGGGTTCCAAAGCGTTGCGCGGAACAATAATTAATCCAAACAACTGATTTTTCTCTAATAACTTTAGCAAATATGGAATCAAATGAGGCGGAATTATTGTTCCTAGCGCTGTGTTATCGGGAATGAAATCCGAGTCTACCAATTTAATATAGAAAAACAATCAGGCAAAAGTAGCATCAAAAGGAAGCATCTGGGTCGGTTTAGTTCAAAGCTGGAAGGTCCTTTGAGAAGGTCGTGATCACTATTTTTCGGGGTTCAAAAGAAGTGATACTTATTGGTATCCTTTCTAGGAGGACAGAAACTGTCACCATAAGTTATTGTGAAGGCGTTTTGAAGATGTCGAAGTCATGCGTCACCAAGAAACGTAGAGGAAACTGTAAGTCAAGTTTTTTTAATCAGGACAATGCCTCTGCACACCCTTCGAGACCTGTCGATGGGAAACACTTCCACATTCACCTTATAGTCCAGACCTAGCTCCTTCAGACTATCTGTTCCCAAAGCTGAAAGAAAACCTTAAAGATATTCAATTTAAGCCTAAAGACGAAGCGGAAAAGCATGCAATTTCATAGTGCCAGAGACAGTCAAAAACTCTACCCTGGGTGCAATTTACGGGTGGAAATATTGACTACAAAAGTGCATAGACAACAATAAAGCCTATGTAGAAAAATGAGTGTTATCACTTGTCAACTATTTAAACTATGATTGATAGCAATTAAGAGTAATTACTATTACATTCACCAAGCCTTCTTTTCTTCTCACCAATGTACCGCTATCAGCTATCATATTTCCATGATACACCTAACCACAATCCACCCTTTGTGC